CCATGGCCTCTTGAATGAGCACAGTATCACCTGACATCCTCCCAACAATTTCCCCAGTGTTAATTTCTTTATCAAAAAAGCCAACATCTTGCCTCAATATTGTTTTCAAGTATAAACTTCTTATTCGAGAAGCCTGTCTCTCTCCAGTGACCATCCAGCAAGACATCTCTGGCATATAGAAAAAGCTACTAATCTCAGTTCCCAAAAAGCCAAATTATTTGTTTGGTGCACCAGCAGGCAGTTGAGTGTACTTACGTAGAAATGCAGCTGCAGCAGCTCCCACCGCCAAGTAGACAAACTTTAGAGCCACCTGAGAATATTGAATTGGTGAAATTATATGTGATTAAGCCTTGTTCATTACAATTTCTACTAAGTTAGACGAACCAGAGAAGAAAATAGATCTTAAAACAGAAGTAAGCTCACAGTTCTGATAGAACTGGATACAGCAATGTATTGAGTAGAATTTTGTTCTTTACTATTGCTGCTGTTGCCTAGATAACTATCTACCAGTTTATAGTCACAGAATATTTACCTTGGAAACTGCATCAACCACGTCTTTATTATTCCCACTTCCTCCAAAGGAGTTGATCACATCTCCAAAGATTATGGTCATTAGAGGCATACAGACCCCATTTCCAATAGCGCTGATTGTACCAATAGACATTAACAGGTAATCTAAGGAATCAGCAAAGGAGAAAAGCTTGTAATATGGCACTGTTTTGGTGCCATCCTCCTTGCTCTTGGTTGTATCTTGGGGGTTGTTTTGAGAGTCCTCCACTACTGCTGAGTGGCCGTTCGATGCTGCCGTTCCCTGCTCCTTGATTACATTTCCAACCGCAGGATTTTCCTCAGCCATGTTATTCACAGCAATAGTAAAGATGCTATATTTTACGACAAGCACCTCAGAGAAGTAAGTTGTTACTATATCTGACAGAGAACTTGATCAGAGCTGCAGGACAAAACATTTATGGTTTGGATCAGGAACATAATTTTTGGGGGGGGGGGAGAGAACTAAATTGACTATACAAACCAAGGAAAATTTGCCAACGGATTCTAATTGAATATGGAGTTGATTATTCGGCCAAACTTAAAAAATTCATTTGTTCCTATAATCTTCTTTTTGTGCGTGTGAACATTAGAAAACCCGTTACTGAAGCAAGTGGTACAGAATACGGACATGTTGATTCCAGTAGATGAAAATAGAAAATAAGGGTGAACACAGACAGGAAAAGGAAACAACGCAAGAAAAGAACAAGCAATAACAAAAATACTACACCCAAACCAAACATTAAGAAGCCTCACACAGCAGGCATGAAATGCAGGCAGTGAGAATGCTGAGAACAAAACTTCTCAAACACAATTTGAAACTAACTAAAACGAAACTAGGAATCAAACGAAGGAGAAAAGAGAAAGAAACCATGTGGGCAGCTAATGCATGCTCTAAAGGTGAGAAATTTAAATAGAAGAGACATAACCACAACTGAGATACAACTTCAAAAAGTGTTGCAGGAAACATTAATATCACCAAAAGATGAAGTTACTCACTAAGGAGGAAACAAGTTTACAAACTTTCAGGAAATGGGTTGATGAAATTGTTGTACTTCCCCCCGAAAGCATTGCTTTATGAGGCAGCACATCAGCCTACAGCCTACCATCTAGAAAGATAGTGTAGATACAAGACTAGTCAAACGTTCAAACTATCCATACTTTTTAAACTAAATTGAAAGACGTAAAATTCTGCTCCTCTTCTTGGTGGCTTTGGTTAGGCAGGAAATCAAATAGGTTGCTTTGACATTAAGTTAAAGTTGAATTTGCAAAGGAAACACTAGTGTTAGTGGTTTGGAGTATTTACTCTTTCAAGCAAGGTCTTGGGTTCGAGTCCTAATATCCTTGTAGTATGTGTGAGTTTGGTATACTATCGCCCCTCTCAATAAGAAAGGTGCTCAAAAAGTTAAAATTGAATTTGTCAGCTCAGATACTATGCTCTGCTGCTTGCAATGTGAATCGGCCGTCTTTCTTTTGCAATTAAAGTTAAATATACCTTACCTTTTTTTTTGTTGCAAAGTTAGGAAGGCGACGGGGTTTTCTTATACACACTGCCAATTGTATCATGAGAGTTCAAACTTGAAACCACTAATATGCAAGTCAAGGCAATTTTTCACTGAATTAGACCCCTTCATCACCTACCCTACCATCATATTGCTTTGAATTTATAAGAATAATAAATAAATAAATAAAAGATCCTGGAAAAACTTGAGACCAGTGGAAAGAAATCATTTTGGAGACGTAACAAGACATGTGACACATTGACTAGCATATACTATATATCAATCTCTAGTTGTTTGTCCTTCCTCTGTAATTATTTAACTTGTATGATATGTAAGCAGATCACAACGTTAGGTAGAAGGTACCAATCGATTATGCTTTGCCCTTTAGATTAATCAGGGTCTACAGTCTATCTACATAACAGAATGAGTAAAATAAGAAGCTGGGATTGGAATTATGTTCATAATTTGGACAATTAATTAAGTTGTATTTTGTCAAGGGGATATATGATTAGAATTAGGCCTCATCATTTGGCCCGCGGGCTCATGGGCCGA